ATGAAATAAAAGCTCGATCCCTCGTAATTTAGCAATAGTACCTTCGCGTCCTGACTCTAGTGGTCTTCCACTGCAATCACGAATTTTGTGTTCTTCACGCACTCTATTGGGCTCTGTTGCGATCAATCTTGGCTCCAGGTTGCGAAGTATTTCATCCAGCGTTTGGTCGATTCTAGTTGGAACACCCTGCTATCGATCTCCCTCCGGAATCAGACGGAGTCTTGCTGCTGGCAGCGAAAGAGCATCCAAACGCCTGTTGATATGGTCGAACAGGGTCTGGAACACCACATTTAGATGAGCAGTGAATGTCTGAAGGATCTCGGTCATGTTTACCTGTTGTTCGCCATGGTTGGTTCTTCGAATGATATTTATTCCTCCGACAAAGAATCCTCTTTTGATCTAAGGTGTGCGATGGGATCTTTGGACCTTTTACGTAACGAAACTGGCTCATCTTCGATCTCACCACTGTGTTGAACCGGGGCTCTGATACCACTTAATACGAGCACGAATCCGGTACCTGTAGTTATTAAAGTAACGCAACTTCAAGAACGAGATTTTTTAGGGTTATATGTTTTGTGATAGGATGGAATTGTAAGTAAAATCTCATCACAAAAACGGGAGAAGGCTCTAACAATATGACATGTACAATCTTAGCCACAATCAAGAGGAAAACTTGATTAATATAGATAAAAGTCTCAAGCCTAAAGCGGAAAGAACCCAGAAAATTCAATATTCTACAAAAAATAACTCAAAATTCGTGTCCCAATCCCTTTATATAGTCCAGGGCAAATAAAATAACAAAAAACCCGAAAAGAAACAAAATCCTACACCGAAAAGGAAGGCCGAACTCGACCATCCCGAAACCCTGTCACAATCCCTGGTTGAGATTTAAGCCCACTGATCGGGGTCCCTATTGCCTCCAATCCCTGATCCATTATTCCATTCACAGGTCGAGGATTTTCTTCCCTCCGGGCAGGGATCGCCACTCCAAGCCGCATCGGTTTATATGTACAACAAAGTTTCTTGTAGCCTATTGGTGTATAAATGAAACTAATGAATATGAGATACTTGAATCAATCCAATGAATGGTGTTTATTTTAAGATATCATATGTAAAAATAATGAATTTCGTTTTTTGGTTCAACCGGTTGGAATTATCTTATCGAACGAATTTAACTAATATTGACCATGACTAAATATCGACACCTTTCCAATCGGTTGGTGACCGGCACCGGTTGAACCGGATGGAATTCCACCCACGTGACAACACTGCTCGTAAGGCATCATGGCCCATGCTAAGTAATTCAGTTCTATTGTTCACATGCATGTATTGTTTCGGAATGATGGTTTTGTGTTTTGTGTAAAAATCAAGGTAAAATACACTTGTATAGCCAAAACTTTAGCGTTTGTGCCAATAATAGCCAAACTTGGAGAAATACCACTTATAGACAGAATTTTGAAACTTTTGTGTCAAATATAACCATTTCCGTTACAAACTTTAACGATGTTATTGACACCGTCAACTTATTTGACGGTTGACTGACTAGAAGCCAACTCAGCCGACACATCACCTCCAAATAAGCAAATAGTGACACGTCAGATATTTTAACTATTTAATATTTACACATAATAAATTAAAAAAATTCCCTCATATTCCCCATATGCTTCGGACGACCCATCTTTGATCTTCCCCAACTCCGTCATCTTTCCCAGTTCCGGCAGCAGTTCAACCCACCCGAGTCCGCCGAGTATCCCCGTCTCGTCCTCTCCATTCCTCCAGTCCAACCTCCCACCATCGACGACAGTTATTAATTATTTCCCCTGAATTTGGGGATTTATCCATTCACCTACCAAATCCGTAACCCTGCAAACCCAAATAAGCAAAGAAGAAAACCCCCAAAGCCAGAATAAGAGAGATGAAGAAGAATCCAAACTCAAAAACCTACAACCCAAATGGACGAAGAAGAGCCCATAACTCCAATGTTGATTCTTCACCTACTTCCCTAATCATATAATTTGAAGAGGAAACCTAGAACTCCAATTGAAGATCTGCGATAGCAGAAAATAGACAGAGTTTTACCTTCATCCCCAATATGCCGAGCACTCCAGCATCTCAACCTTTGTCTTTTCTTCATCGCAAAATCTGGCCAGGGAAGAAGTTGAAGAGATCTCGGGATCTGGCAGATGGTATCTTTCCGTAAACTTCCCAGAGCAAACTCACAACATAGTTATTATTTACTTGCAACAATCTATTCCAACTTGGTATCTCAATCGTCTATTGATATTTGCTCTCCCACTCCCGCCCCAAATAGAAACCCAACCATTGAGAATAAGTCTTACCAATCATGTTACTGATTCGGGATCTGGCAGCAACAGGGCAGGGATGACTTGCATGGCGGATTGGTGGTGATAGAAAGTTAAAGATAACTAAGTAAGAGCGACACCGATGTTTCAAATTTGTGGTACGGAGGAGAAGCAGGAGATGGATCCAGAGAGATCGGCGGAGGAAGGAGGGCCGGATATGGTTGACTGTTCACGGAGAAGAACGTGGTTGTCTTCGCTTTTGTGCGCCTAAGGAGGAGAAGAGCAGGAAAAGGTGGAGACAGATCTGGAGAGATCGGCGGAGGAAGGAGGGCCGGATCTATTTGACTGTTCGCGAAGAAGAGAGTGTCTTCTTTTTTATTATTTGTATTTTTTCATTTTTTTCAGTTAATTATAAGAAAATGAGAACATTTTCGCAAATCCACGGGGATATTTACAGACAAAATTGGAGATAAGAGCTTGCCACGTCAGCGTCTCCGTGTGTCCAGTCAGACTTAACGCTAACACCGTTACAGAATTGGACGGAAGTGGCTATAAGTGGTATTTCGCCAAAAGTGGCATAAACGTGAAAGTTTTGGCTACACAAGTGTATTTTGCCTAAAATCAATGATTAGCATTTTTTGTTTTAGTTTTTAACGAATACATTACTATGTTTCATTGTTCACGTGAATGCATATCTTTAATCATATCTTTTGCATTTTACAGTGACCGACAATTGAATTATTAATGGTTATGGGACCAATTGTTTTTGATTTAACTTACCACATTTACATCTCAAAGTTTTCATTGAAAAATGATGAGAAATAGTCAATAATGATATAGTAAAAGGCCGAATATTATATTGAAAGTGATAATAATTATGTTTTCTATCATTTATAATACCATGTATCATTGTTGATAACAATATGATTAATCGATAAAAAATTATCCAAAAATGTTGATAATACATCGAAGCAACGGTACCTTACATAGTTATTGTGATTATTAATCTTTCATAGTTGATTGTTAATACAGTTACATTGAAAACGTGATTGTGAATATTAATCTTTCATAGTTGATTGTTAACACAGTTACATTGATAATGAACGGCTTACAACAACGATGTTAACATTATTTTATATAGGTATTGTTAATGACTTACTTTCGGGATATTAATGTTTTTCTGATAATTAGTATCATACTTCGTGTCATTATTAACGCGTGGATATAAGCGTATCAATGTTTGAGAAATAATTATTAATAATATGTAGTATGACTCACGACCATTAGATCCGACCATTAAGAGAGCAGATTTTGAGTGAAGAATTTATGGTTTTAGAGAGGGGAAGAGAGAGAAGTTGAAGGAAGGAGAATAGGAGAAGGAGAAGGAGCTAGAAGAGAGGAGACACCTTCCTCAAATTCCACCTCTTTTTTGTATCTTCTTTCCTTCTTTATGGAGTAGTCCTCTAAGGTACTAGGGGTTCTAAACCTCAAACCCTAGTTATGAACATGAAGTGAAAACGTAAACTGTTAGTAAAGATCGTGTAGATCAATGATAGTGTTATTCAAATTATTAATGTGGATGTTGCATAAATTTAATCATTCATTCATACGTGTAGATAAAAAGATAAAAATAGTTAACAATTTATCTAAAATCGTTAATAATATATTTTTAAAACACTGATAAGTTTTTGAAATCTTTAATAATGATGAGGTATACTAATAATGATTCATTTAATAAACATTGATAATATCATTGTAAAACTTTAATACTACATTGCAAGTTACCACGAAATAAAAGAAAATAGATATTTTTAATTTTCAATTTCCATTTAAAAAAAGCAAAAAACATTGAATTCAATTATTTTTAAATATTAAGTACAAATATTTATTAAATTAATTTTGCATTTCTTTTTTATTGTAGTGGAGAGAAGGTTATGGAGAAGGTCACTGGAGGAGAGAGAGAATTATTAATTATTAATATTAATTATACCTCATTTACTCTCAACTATCTATTAACTACCTAATCCATTAAGAGCCAATATAAATGATTTAAGAATCTCTTTAAACAATAAGGTTTAAGGACTGGATCTGAGCCATTCTTAACCCTAATCCTTGAATCTGAAATAATATTTCGTTACCGGTCACATAAAAATATGTTCGAACCGACATATATCAGGCCTAAAATGTGAAACCGCCTTATCATGTCTTGTTTTGATTTGTGATGTTATTGTTTTGAACCTTTTTCTTCTGATCCACATCATGATAATAATATAAGCCATTACGAAGAAGTAGGATTGTGAAGTCATGATTCAGAATCGTTTGGGTAGTAGCTAGCTAGCTGAGAAAAAGAAGGAAAAAAGCAGGAAATTTGGAAAGGGCAAATTGCGTGCTCATCACAGCCACCCTTAATAAAAAAGGCTCCTCTCAAAGATGATTAGTGATGAAGAAGATGCGTGGATTCAACTAAGGCAACACATTAGCTAGTCTCGTGATGCAATGCATAACCCACTAGAGCTGGCAATCTTGATCCAATCCATTAGTCCAATCCAGTCCAATCCATTTAAATTGATCCAAATCCATTTAGTCCAAATCCATTTAATCCATGGATAAATGGATTGGATTCATGGATATCCACTAAATCACTAACCTATACCAAAAATCAAAACAAAACAGTCGGAGCCTGAGCCCTGAAGCAGTCGGAGCCGTGGTGGGCAGGGGCCAGGGAGTGATTCCGGCGAGCTGCTGTGCCCTCCCCTCCTCCCTCCCAAAACCGTCTCCCAACTCTGCATCCTCTCCAACCGATTCTACTCTGCCTGGAATTCCACCCCTTCTCTTTCCTTCCACCACTCCGACGCCGGCCGCGGCGGAGTCGGACAAGAGGAGGAGAAGCGAGAGCGATTCATCGACTACATCAGCTCCACCCTCGCCCGCCGCGCCCCTTCCTTCACCCTCGACGAATTCCGAATCCAAGCCCCCGCCCTCGCCCTCCCCTCCTCCCCCGCCTACCACGACGACCGCGTCGCCGCCTCTCTCCCCCTCTTGAACCCACCTCGTCAGTCGTCGCCTCCAAAAACCACTGCGACCTCGCCGCCTCTCTCACCCTCTCTCACCCACCTCGTCGCTTCCTATTCCAGACAACACCGTTCGCGCCGCCTCCTATCCAGACCCACCTCGTCGCCTCCTTCACGAAGGTCAGAAACTCGCCTTCCTCTCCATCATTTCTCGGCCAGCTCCATCAAGGAACGTTAATCACTCCATTCGCCCAAACCCACGAACTGAAATTTTGTTCGTTGCTTCTCCGCTCCGCCGTCTCAAAGGTTGAACAGGTACTTTCTAATCGAACCTCTTCCCCATTGTTTCACCATTGGAATTTCTGATTTTGTGAATTCTTGCAGACTTGCAGTGAACTTGCGTCGGCGCAGGGTTAGTTCAGTTCTCCCGCTTAATCTTAACTCTATATATAGGTATCAGTCGTCCTCTATCCCTAAAATTCATTCATTGTTCTGTTCCTTCGATTATCTTTCTCACAGCCTGAATTCTTCAGCTCTCTTTCGTTATTTGTTCTTTTGAATTACTGGGTATGTTTGTCTTCGTTGCCTCCTCTTTCGGCTGCAAGAGTAGATCTGAGTTTTGTTTGCCTGATGCAAAGATGTAATGAACCCGATTGAGTTTTGTTTGCCTAATGCAAAGATGTAATGCTGAATGTTTTCTGATTGAGTTATGAACCCGATTGAGTATTGTTGATGATGAAAAGGTTCTTGTATAGCTGATTACCCTGTTCAAGTTAGATCACAGGCCCTGGAGTTTGCAACTTGAGCAGGCATCTTAGCAAATCTGTCATGGTGACTTGGGTAGTCAAGTTTTTGTAATTTTGGTTAGTCCTTGTTTCAGAATATCTCATCTGATGTGTTTTTCTGGCTTGCTTCAATCATCAGGATCCTCCTCTCTAACTGGTTAACTCTCCCTTTCCCCTTCTGGCCTTCTCCATTTCCCCACCTTATCATCCATCTCCTCCATCCCCCAAATGAAACAACCGCCGCCACCGCCACCCATTTCCCCGCCGCCGCAATGAACCACCGCCGGCCGCTTCACACCCTCCCCTTCCTCTTCAACAGCTTCACCCCCACCAACTCCTCCTCCAGCCTCTTCCTCTACGGATCCGCCGCCGTCGAATCTCGAGTCCTCACCCTCACCAACTCCACCACATTCACCATCGGCCGCGCTCTCTACCCGCAGAGAATCCGCACCAAAACCCCCAATTCCTCCTATGTCAACCCCTTCTCCACCTCCTTCATCTTCGCCATGGCGCCGTACAGAAACACCCTCCCGGGCCACGGATTGGTCTTCCTGTTCGTCCCCTTCGCCGGAATCGAGGGGGCTTCCTCTTCTCAGAACCTGGGCTTCCTCAATCGCACCATCGACAACGATCCCAGCACCCGCATCTTCGGCGTCGAGTTCGACGTCTTCGACAACCAGGAGTTCAGCGACATCAACGACAATCATGTTGAGTGTGAGCTCGAGGAGGGTTGCGGGAGGGATTCTGCCAGCGCCGTTCGGCCCCAGATTCGGCCGCTTGTCCAGTTGGGAGGGACCTGGAGGCTGGAGGTGTCGCCGGCAGACTCTTGTCGCCGGCGATGACTGTTTCTCTCATCTGCGAAAATAAAATATCATGGAAAATATACAGTTTGGTACCTAAAATATTTATTATCAAGTTGCAGTATATAAAGTTTTCAAATTTGACATCTTGATTCAATGATTTAAATGTCATTTGGATTAATGGATAATCCATCAATCCACTTTATCCAATCCATGGATCCATTAATCCATTTGATCCAGTCCATTTGATCCATGGATCAAACAATCCAATCCACTTATCCATGAATCAATCCATTTGCCACCTCTATAACCCACACTATATAAAACACTTTCTTTCTTTCCCCCTTCCTCAAAAGAGGAAAAAGGGTAACCTTAGAATCATCCTAAGAAAAGGGGGACCATGAATTATTCCCTAATTAGTCAGGTTTTTTATTAATTGCAAAACAACTTATAGTCATATAATTTAGTGCTAATGATGATGATTATGGAGAGAGTCTACTTTGCTTGAAGATCAGGATGACTTTTACTTTCCGACTTTATTTTTTTCGGTTCTCTTTTCTTGAAGCTATATAAGTAATATTTTGTCTGAAACAATTCCTTTTCGATTTGTATTTAAATTTGCAATTGTGATGTAAAAGATCGAATTTGAAAGAATATTAACGGTTTACATAAACTATTTCCTTATTTATATCACGAAATAGAATTTCTGATTACGTGGCTTTGTTGCTTTTAACAACAATTTCTTACCGATTTTAACTTATCGATTTATACATAATTGTTTAAGATCTTAATATGGGGGATGGTTGTTGTAAGTTTTACCATCTAAGTCAATCGTTAGTATCGTATCCATTTAATGCATTAGGTAGTTGTTTTGATGCACTTTCTCACTAGTACTTAGCAAAACCCTTGCTGATTATACCATTTTGGATTATGATTTTATATAAATATGGTCGAGATCACAAGTGTAGCAAGGGGCAGAAGACCGAAGATCGTGGCCTAGAAGAGAATATCACGAACGAGATCATGGACCGTGAAGTCAAGTTGAAGATCGTGGCCGCGAATTGGAGAGCTCAGGGCGCGAACTTCGCGAAGAAGGAGCCGAGGAAAAACATAAACTTTCCCCAGTCGGATCACGGCCACAGTGTTTTTTTTACCGCGAGAAAGATCGCGGCCGCGACTCGCGGATCTCGACCGCGAAGTCAGCCTACGATCTCATCAATCTCGAAGGCCAGTACGACTGAGTTTCAAGATCGCAACCTCATAATTGAAGATCCCGCCCGCGATCTATGCCCTGCCGACTGCAAACTTCTCCGTCCTCTGACTGCCTATAAATAGAAGACCCCCTTTCCCCCTTTTAGGAGAGCAAATTTTGAGAGAAGAATTTATGGTTTTAGAGAGAGGGAAGAGAGAGAAGTTGAAGGAAGGAGAAGAGGAGAAGAAGGAGAAGGAGCTAGAAGAGAGGATACACCTTCCTCAACATCAAGTCTTCTTCCACCTCTTTTTTGTATCTTCTTTCCTTCTTTATGGAGTAGTCCTCTAAGGTACTAGGGGTTCTAAACCTCAAACCCTAGTGTTAAAACACACCAAAAGATCAGAACAAAAAGTAATCGACACCGAGTTTACGTGGTTTCCTTGTTCAGGGAGAACGAAACTGGTCCACGGTGGAAGCAGTTGTTTCTCTTATTCAATTAACCAGCAGACACACACACACACACACACATACAAGACAATATATAGGGCTCTACATCACAACCCTAGCCGAACCCCAATAGAGAAGGATTTTCGGCCCCCAAACCCAGCTGTCTAATACTCCACCATCTAATAATCCACTACACAAATATTTATACATTGGGCTTAAGACCGACACCAACATCATCATAACTCAACACCTAGTTTTAAGATTTACTATGTAGGTATGGATATTCTAGGGTTTGAATGAATGAATGTGTTTATCTAGTTGATTCTATTGCTATTCTATCCTTGATTGTGTTCGGGTAAGTCGGCTTAATCTTCTCTATTAGCCTACTTTGTGCTTCTACTCTGGGTATGGAGTTCTAGGGTTAGACGGGTATGCGTCATCAAGCAAATTGAGATAGATGTATGAATAGGGACATTGGTGGTCGTGGCGACCGAAACCCTGCCATAGGTAGCCTTCCTAGATAGAACCCGGGATAAAACCTCGGTGTGGACGGTGGATAGTATCCATTGAAAGGAGCTACGATCTTAATTCCCCAGATACGATAACATAGATCGAGCTGACTTTATATGGGTCTAGGGGAGGCGTACTCAGAGGGGTGTGGATAAACACGAAAGCCCACGGAAATGAACTCACTTGCCACATTCGATAACAGTAAGTGTATAGACATTACATAGTAACCCTAGACTAGGGTGAGGGATAGTTCTCCGAAGTACATGCTTTTAACTTTATCAATCTCTAGACTAGTTAATTCTCTCAAATCCTCCATGCAAACCTCCGAAACTGATAAACTAAATAACAACGAGGTAAGAAGGCTAGGGTACCAGGACCCGAGTAAAATACGACATTGATTGCCACTATACGATAATGCCATCTTAGGTTAAACTTGGCTAAGGATGAGGTAGGTGTTGACACGTGCTAACCATTGACAATAACTTGCACGGATGTAAGTGATCTTGCTTTTTGGCGCCGTTGCCGGGGAACCTTGGTAACTTGTAAAAAACCATAAGTTGTTAGTTTAGGGGTCGTTTGTTTTATGAATTTAAAAATGAGGGTTTTGTAATTTAAAAACCCAAGGATTTATCAAGGATTTGAGGTATTATAGATTTGTAGCAATCCTTTGTTTGTTGAGATGTTTTATCATGGATTTAAGGGTTTGAAATTTAGAACTTAAATTCCAAAATTACCGTACTATCCTTTTCTATTTGTTTGTCATGTTTATGATATGTACACAAAACAAAACAAAAACACGTACTAATAAGCATAATGTGTCCACAAGGACAATAATAATAAACGGGAAAATTCCGTTTAACTTTTAACGTAACATATATCGATTATCAATTCTTTGTTATCTTTTTTCAAAACTAACATATAACAACATATATTAGAACCGGGGAACAAAGAATTACACGTTGCATGAAAAGGCCAAAGAGAACTAAAGCACAATAAAAAGGTTATAAAAAATATAACTCATGTTTGCACACAAATTGAATATTTATATTATTTCTTTATTGTTAATTAATTGATTATTTATAATGTACAATAGGTAAATGTGAGTGAAACCTTGGAATTTTAAAAGTTCATGAGGGTATATGTGTAAAATCGTTTCACGGATTTATGACATGTTACAAATTCCACAAACATATGTGGGATTTACAAGTCCGTGTGGTTCACGGATTTGGACCCTTAAAATCCGTGGGGCCCATGGATTTGGTCCCTAAAAGAAATGCAAGCAAACAATGGATTTTTCTTAAATCCACGATGGAATGGATTTAGGTACCAAATCTATCATCTAAATCCACGAAACAATCCACCCCTTAGTTTTTACTTTGTTTTGTTTTGCGTCTTGTTTGTGTCTTTCTTTGTGTTTTGTTGTTTTCGTGTTTGTTTCATTTTGCATTCTTGTTTTGTGTGTGTGTGTTTTGTTGTCTTTGTGTTTGTTTTGTGTTTTGTTATCCAACTTTGTACGTCACGGGTTGTATAAGTTTTTGTGTGTGAATATATTAATTGCTCATGGATCGAACCGAGTTCGAGCGTATTGCGAAGGAAACCATAGATATACTTCGCTGGCAATCACAATTTCAAGGAAAGCATAACGAGAGTGCTCTCGATCATATGTCCTACTTCTTAAAGGTCATCAAAACTGAAGAGCCGGAGTTTACTCAAGATCATATAAATTTTC